AAATATTACAAGATCCATCTAACTGATATATGATATGCTGACATTCCTTCTTGTCAATCGACTTTTCCAGGTGACGCGTTGATGCAAGGTTGGCCATCTCAAGTAATGTCGATCGGTTGGATTCTTCTTTAATGATCCTCCGACCTGTTAGATTGCGAACTGACCAAATGGTTCAATACCTGGTCAGTCGATTGATACTCATTTTCAACAGTCATGCGCATTGATCGTCTTTCTTCATCTGATCGTTATACTCCTTGAGATCTGTGCTATGTTGTTAACCAATTGTTTGATCTCCTAGCAGTCATCTTATCCCCTATTCTTTGAATTGCTTTGTGATGTCGTATTTTTTCTAGTATAACATATTAGTATTCATGTATTATAGTGCTGGCCTATATTATAGCAAATATCTTTATAATATAGAAAAACAATTAACGCTGGCCTGTATTATAGCAAAGATGACTGCTAGGAGATCAAACGATTGGTTAAAAACATAGCACAGAATAGGGAATTAATCTTATTCCATTAATGTTGGCCTGTATTATAGAAAATATCTTTATAATATAGAAAAACAATTTTAAGAAAAATAATATTAAGGGTTTGTTTGGGGCAGCTACAGCTTATCCAGCTTCTACTGATAAGCAGCTTCTTCTCTACTGATAAGCAGCTTATCCTGATAATCTGCTGATGAGCAGCTAATCCAGATAAGTTGTCTGGCTGTTTGGTTTGCGCTTATGAAAAACAGCTGATTCTGGAAAATTAAATATTCTGCCCCTCTTCTGAATAAGCTGTTTAGTTGCCCCAAACATGGCCTAAGTTTACTCTATTGTTGAGATAATGAAAATTTTTTAGAGTTGTATTGCTCAGAGTTATTTAAAAAATCAATTTGTTCAATATTCTATGCCTAAAATGTCAATGTTTTTATGATTACATTGTTTTCTTCAATGATATATTTGGAGTCCAAAATAAATGTGTTAAGATTACCCCATTTTTATCATCTTGTAATGCATTATTTCACTAGGACCTTTGCCCCATCCTTTTCCTTCTCAAATGAGGATGAAACCACGGCATGGGAAACCAAAATAATGTGGTTCGATTATTAATCACATAAGTGCATCTTAATACTTTGAATTAAATATTCTTTGTGAAGATTAATATCAATGTTTAGTTCGACAAAAATATTACTATGATCATATTGCAAAGGCAATATGTGCATAATGCTCAAAGTTAAAAACTTTGTTGCTACTTTATCTCTGTTCTTTGCACATATATTAATAATCTTTTTCCTTACAAGATTGGACTTATGATATGTGGCCAAGATATTCCTTCGTGTTGTAAGATGCAAAATGTAACAATTTGAATATGTGTTGTTAAAAGATTGGTTGGAGTGCATATTACGTCAGGACTCCGAACGTCGACGTGTTATAGGACTATTCCGCTATTTTACAGGAATATTCCATTGTAAAAAATGAAGTGTTATTCGAGTATTACGGTGTGTTATTTGATTACTTTGCGGACTTTGCGGTGTTATTGGAATATTCCCCCACGTTACTTGATTTGGGGTTGTGTTATTCGGCATATTCCCTGTGTTATTTCAATTTCCACTATGTTATTGGAATCAGCCCCAAATCAAATAACGCGGGAAAATATTCCAATAACACTTCATTTTCTACAAATAACGCTGATGGAATATTTCTATAACACAGCGATATACTCCTAAAACACACCGACTATTGCAATCTGAACGTAGCTCTACGTTCGGAGTCCTGATGTAATATTTTTTCGATTAGCTGAGACTATTCTTTTCTTTTTATTTTCATAAAAAATGATGCATTTCATGTCAATATTTGTGGAAATAAAAAAATTTTAAGGCTGACATGTTGCAATCGAGAGACAATAAAATTAATTTTATTTTCAGAGATGTTAAGTTGTTTCATTCAATTACTGTGTGGTTTACATCAAGAGTAGATAGTCCACCAAGGACTATTATATTAAAGAAGAAAGCAAATTTAAGTGGTATGTACTTAATTTTAAAAAGGATTATTTAGTAATTGAATTTAACAAATAGTAATTTAAAATAATAATTCATATTATCACTTTTTCCAATGGCCACAAAGGCAAGAAAATTTTTTTAAAAAAACAAAAAAAAAATTGTTTGGTTTTAGTTATTACTTGGGAATTTTATACATGAAAATAATAATTTAATAAATTAATTAATTATTCTTACAATGATCAAGTTTTGAAATAGTAATTACCTATTCAATGGCCACACTGTTGTTGTTTGAAATGATGACAATGATCATATAAGTTTAAGGATGTTAAAATTAGACCAGACATCAAACCGAAAGAAGGAAAGATTTATTGATTCGATCGGGATTGAACCGGGGGTTGAAACTTATGACATAAGAAATATAAAAATTAATTAAAGATGACATAGATAACATGATAATGATATATTACATGCAAATGCAAACTAAAAAGTGATCAAAATTGCATTATAAAATATAAAACACACATAAAGATAAATTCAATAATTTTGAATATAAAAATATTAAATATTTGAATGACTAACCTCAAATTTGTAGCTAAAAAAAATGTGATCCTTCTTTGAAATCTTTTTTTTCGTATTTCCTTTTTTTAACGTTTGATAATCTAAAAGTAAAATGTAGATGAGAGAAAAATTTAGATTAATTAAAAACCTAAGGAAACTTAAAGTTCGCAACCACAAACCATTTCTCTATATTCCTCTTATAATGTCAAATATCACTACCCAAAGAGGAAGATAAAGCAAAGCACTACATTCCTCTAAAACACTCCATCATTTTAATCACATAATTTTATTTATATAAACTAGTCACATTTTTGTATAATAAATCAAGTAAGTTGAATTAATTATTCTTATATTAGCTTTATGTAGAAAAAAATAAGGATCACCCCAAACATACATTACAATTTTAAATAAAAATATAAAATAATTTTTATATTCCTTCCACCAAATCATTCATAAAAAAGAAGGCAATGGAGTCTCAAAAAAATACCCGAGTATTAAAAACCGCGACCGGTTCAACCCCGATTATGTCTAGCGTCCGGACCGACTGCCCTACTGGTTCACGGTGTGATCGGTCCAACCGGCTAGTCCAGTCTTGTTTTAACAACCTTGTATAATTTAAAAAAAAGCAAAAAATAGTTTAGTTTTAGTTATTATTTAGACATTTATACATATAAAGAAGAGTTTAGTAAATAAGTTGTTTTTTTTTAAGTAATTCAAAATTGAAATACTAATCATCTATGAAATGAAGCATGTATGGTTATAAACAATGTATTTCATTTATATTAGTAAAAAGAATTTATTTAAAGGAAAAGTACTCTGATAGAAAAAAAATGTTTTTTTTTTTTACATTAAGAGAAAATCTTAGTTGAATTTTTTTATAAGAGGAGCACAATATTATTGAAGATTTTTTTTTAATTTGAACAAATAATTTTGATATTATTTTCCAATTATTTAGAAATACTAATATCTACTTTATATTATTGTAAAAATTAGTTGAACTCTATTTTATTAATATCGGCTTTATTTTCTTGCCAATTTTTTTAAAAGAAACGAATCAATAAATAATAAAAATGCTAAAATATGAAAATTTTATACAAAAAACCAAAACATCTATAAAGTGACTAAAAAGAAATACAACATATTACTCTCATGTTGTATACATATATGTTGTTTTATGGTCTACGATGTGTTTTAGCCATCATGGCTCTAATGCCTAGAATGTAATAATTTGAAGCACACTATGGTCCATCTCATAAGTGGGGTTGCCTCTCTTCTAAAATTAGAAAAAATATTGTGTCCGGACAACGTATGCGATGCACGAATCACGCACGAGATTTTTTTTTTCTTTTGTTTACTCCGATGCATCTCGCAAAACTTTCCATATGATGACTTATCCGAGTACCAATAATGTCTCTATGCGGCATTTGTCGAAAGATGGTTATGATCAATGTAGAAAGAAAGATTGATGAATTGCGAATTTGCACTAAATATGGCTCGCATGCGAAGCGGTATTAAAATAATGCTCGGTAGAGAAGTGATGATGTCAGAAAGGAATAAGGGTTATTATCAAAGATGTAAATGAAGGTAGCACTGTGGCTTTTTGAGGCAATAAAGAGTTTTTGGGTTTTCTATAAAAAAAATAATATGTTTCAAGTGTGAGATATACTAAAAAATATAAACTTTTTGGGTTTTATGTTATTGCATGTAAACCCATATTTCATAACTCAAAACTCAAGTATCTATTTCCTAACAAATAAAAATAAAAAAAGTCAAAACATGAAATAACATGTATCCCAAAAAGATCCAATTGTCTCCATCTTTAAAGGTGGGATAATTCTTCACATACATTCATTACAACAACAACAATAACAAAGCCTTAATCCCCCTACGTGGGGTCAGCTACATGAATCCTTTTTCTCCATTACGTCCTATTTAGTGTCATATTTTCTATTAGTTCTAGTTTTACTAAATTAAGATCATTTTTTATACAATAAGCCCAAGTCTTCCTAGGTCTATCTCTGCCATTCTTAACACAAGTCGAATCTAAAACATCTACTCTCCTAATCGGATCATCAGATGGTCGACATTTAATGTGCCAAACCATCTAAAACGACTTTCTTGAATTTTGTCTGTCACAACCCTATCACGGATATATTCATTTCGCATTTTGTCTCTAAGTGTAAAGCCACTCATCCACCTAATCATTCTCATCTCGACAACACTTAACTTATTATTATGCTTCTCTTTTAAAGGCCAACATTCAGCGCCATAGCGCATTGCAGGTCTCATCACCGTCATATAAAATTTTTCTTTCAGTCTAAGCGGTACTTTTCCTTGCAGGTCTCACAGACATTCATTGATAATCTAAAATTAAAAAGCAGCTGATAAATTTTAAAATAATTAAAGATGACCCAAATGTTGCTTCTGAAGTTAAAAAAAAAAAATTAAAAGTTTAACAAAGTGATAAATCAGGAAATTAGTTAAGAGCCATGCAGAAATACAGCTGTTAACTCCAAATTGATTACAGATTACCAATGAACACATATCATCAATGGAAAAGCATTAAATGCATATCACATAACCTTAGAATAGGTATAAAAGAAATGTACAGATTTCAGTGAATTCTTCGGCTCAACTGCCACACAAACTGTTCTGCAGCAGCCATTGCTTGAGTTGCAGAGCCTATAGAACCTTCGTACCTGTGGCAATTCATTAGCATTAGAAATAAGATGCCAAGCTCGCAATTAAAAGCTTTTGGAACTGGTAAAAGACAAAATTAAAATAACCATTACATTAATTAAGATAAATTATGTCCTTACATTGCAACTAAAAGATAAGCTGCTATCTGCATAATAATAACACCTTCACCTGCAGGTCTAGATGTATTTATACACCTAGCACAGAACCAGTGCTCATGTATTGACGTGACTAAATCTGTCATTAAAAACCCAAATAATAGCATTATATTTCTGAAATAAATTAACTTTAAGGCAGTTATATGCATAGAGCAAGTGCAATAAAGTTCGATGCGCATAAATTTACTGCAGAAAAATATGAATTGGTGGGGCACTATTTTTAGTTACAAACACTAGTGAAGAAGAAAAAAAAAATCAATCCATTAAGAAAGCCCATACAGTTACTCACATTGGCTTGATCCTAGAAAGAAGAACTCAGTTTGGAGATTGTTCCGTTTGATAAAATTTAGGAATTGTCGTAAATCAGCAGGCTTGAAATTTGTACCTTCTTGTTCTGCTCTGTGAACAACAAAAACAATCAGGCATCAAGCCTTGAGAAAGAGCATGAGTCGGAAAATTTCCTATAAGGTAAAAGTGGGGTTCTCCCATCCATTATAGCATCGGCATAATGGAAAGCTAGATGCCAGCGCTCAATTAGTAAAGCAATTTTTTTTCATATTTCTTAACATAATAGCAATTTGAAGTTTAATAATCACATCACCAACTGTGACCCCAACCAAGACTGCAAATGCATTGAACCGGGCAGAGCAAATGCTCCTTCGAGCTCTAGCTCATTTATCAAAATCTTGTTTAAGCGCAGCTCAAGCTCAATTCAAGCTTTTGTTGACTGTATTCAAACACGGTTCATTTAAGATCATGACTATTTTAGCTCAGTTTGAGCAATAAGTTCGGTTCATATTGTGATTATCGAGTTTATTAAGGAGTATATTGTTTAGCAAAATAAAAGAGCTTTATCAAGGTGAGCTTATAGAGCTTTAAACAAGTACCTTTTTGAAAAAACAAAAGAACCTTGTTAAGCAAAATTTTACTATCTTAAAAAAAAGAATTAATTTAATAAGCTGCTTAAACATGAGAATTAGTCTAGCTAAATCTTTTAAAAAATGTATTCAAGTAGAGGTCCCATGTGAGTTACAAGGCCACAAGGTAATGCAACTAGGCTTCATGCAAGGATATTGTGCTTTAAACTACACAAACAATACTTCTTCAAACAACCATTAGATGTGGAGCTAAAAAGCATAAGCCGGCCTTGTGGGTTCAATGGGTAAAAGAAAAATTAGAATAAAAATCCAACTAATTTGCAAAAAAACAATGATTTTTATAACCAAATCAACCATACTAGTTTCAAATTGAATGAACAAGTTAAAATCACCTTCCAATAAGAATCAAAATTTTATTAATGGGGTTGAAGTTATTTTCTCTTCCACTTGTACAAGTCAATCTCCAACAGCTTAATATTACCATCATCAAACTTGTTTACAAGCTATAAATAATAATGTTTAAGATCATAAGCAAATCAAGCAATAAGTTCCAAATGTACTCATTGAATAAACGAATATTTATAAAAGTATACAAACTGAACTGTAAAGGAAAACTTTCTATTTCTTTAATTACTTAATTATAGAGTTTTTGGAAGCATAGTCTATATATATATATATATATACTTAATTAGTAATATATTTAACATAGCAAAGATTTTTATGATTAGATCTCCTCTAATTTGGTTACATAATATCAATCTTTCAAATATACAAGTTTCCTAGTATCTAAGCATTGGATTTAGTGTTTTCCATAACACTCTCGCTCAGGCTAGAGCATAGATATTTATCATGCCCAGCATATTATAAATATAAGCGGCCCTAGCTCTATTAAGAGTCTTTGTGAAGATATCCCCTAGTTGTTCCCTAATCTTTACATGAGCTGCAGAAATTAAATTTGTTGGATATTTTCACGAACAAAATGATAATTGTGAATTTTTAAATAACTTTCTTCTCAATGAATACATAGATAATTCACCTATAAATAGGCGTTTACAAAAAATAAAACAAGGAAAGAAATCTTCCTACAATTAAGTAATTCCTATAATTATAGAATAAACATTAATACCTATAATTAAGAATTACTATTTTTATACTATCACAAAATATAGCAAGTACTAAATAACATTAAAGTAAATAATAATGAGCGTAATTCCACACTCCCCCTCAAGATGGGTTGTACAGATTGTACATGCCCAACTTGTTGGTTAGCTCATCAAAACTGGACTTAGGGAGAGCCTTGGTGAGAATGTCTGCGGTTTGGTCTCTAGAAGGAGTATAGACCAATTCAATGATTCCATTGTCCACCTTCTCTGAAATGAAGTTCCGATCAATCTCAATGTGTTTCGTTCGGTCATGATGAACAGGATTCTTTGCGATACTTATTGCAGCTTGATTGTCACAGAACATCTTGATAGAATTTTCTCCCATAATTCCAAGCTCTTTGAGAAATCTTTTGATCCACATTCCTTCACAGATTCCAAGTGCCAGTGCTCTGTATTCTGCTTCTGCGCTACTCCGAGATACCACCGATTGCTTCTTACTTCTCCATGTCACTAGATTGCCGCATACATACGAGCAATACCCAGAAGTTGATCGTCGGGTGGATATATCTCCTGCCCAGTCTGCATCAGTAAATACTTCTACCTTTTGACTATCATTCCTTTTGAATAATAATCCTTTCCCAAATGTCATCTTTAAGTATCTTAAGATACGGTTGACAGCTCCCATATGTTCCTCAGTAGGACAGTTCATGAATTGACTTACTATACTTACTGAAAAACTTATGTCTGGTCTGGTGTGAGATAAGTAAATAAGTCTTCCAACAAGCCTCTGATATCGTCCTTTGTCGACAGGTAAACTATCATTCTCCATTCCAATCTTTTTATACGGGTCTATTGGAGTGTCTATTGGTTTGCATCCAAGCATACCAGTTTCTTTCAATAGGTCCAATGTGTACTTCCTTTGAGTTACGGCTATCCCCATTTTGGATCTTGCAACTTCCATTCCCAAGAAGAACTTCAAGTCTCCGAGGTCCTTGATTTCGAATTCATGGGCTAGAAACTTCTTCAGCTTTGTCAATTCTTCAGTATGATCACCAGTAAGAATGATGTCATCAACATACACAATAAGAACAGCAATCTTCTTCTCTGATCTTTTTGTGAACATTGTATGATCAGTCTGGCTTTGAGTATAACCGCACTTGATTACTGAATTGGTGAATCTGGCAAACCAAGCACGCGGAGATTGTTTGAGACCATACAGAGATTTCTGGAGCTTGCATACTTTGCCACTAGGGAAGGACCCTTCGAGACTAGGCAGTAAATTCATGTATACATCCTCTTCAAGGTCTCCCTTAAGGAATGCATTTTTGACATCAAGTTGCATAAGGGGCCAGTCTCGGTTTGCTGCAATGGAGAGTAGGATTCTAATGGAGTTCAGTTTGGCTATTGGGGCAAATGTCTCTTGGTAGTCAATTCCGTATGACTGGGTATATCCTTTTGCAACCAGTCGGGCTTTTAACCGATCTATGCTTCCGTCTGCCTTACATTTGATTGTAAATAACCACCTGCATCCTACTGGTCTCGTATCCTTGGGCAAATCAGACACAATCCACGTTCCACTCTTTTCTAGTGCAGCAACTTCTTCATTCACAGCTTTTCTCCATTCCGGGTGTGAGAGAGCTTCTTGAATAGAATTTGGAACCTTTACGCTGTCAATAGCAGTTACAAATGCACGATAAGCAGGAGATAACCTCTCATATGAAATAAATCGAGCAATAGGATGTTGAGTGCACGGAACATCAGAATCATCTTCCACAGGCGGGGTAAGCTCATTAGTGTCTATAGATTCCGTACCTGAGTGGGTTTCAGAGGATTTTGGAGTCGGATTAGATTCTTGGACAGCAGCTGGAAGCGGTGTTAGGTTCTCTATTCTTTCAGCATTTCTGTTTCGTCGTATAGACCCGGAGTTCCTGAGGAGTGGGTTGTGTAGACTGAGGAGGTTGAATAGGAGAAGGTGTGGGTTGTGTAGACTGAGGAGGTTGAATAGGAGAAGGTGTGGGTTGTGTAGACTGAGGAGGTTGAATAGGAG